TATATATGGTGCTGAAACCCATTATGAACTGTATGCATGGTGCTGAGCCCCCATTACTACCTGTATGCATGGTGATGAGCCCTCATTATGAACTGTATGCATGGTGCTGAACACCCATTATGAACTGTATATATGGTGCTGAAACCCATTATGAACTGTATGCATGGTGCTGAACCTCCTCATTTAATGCCAGGGCTTTCCAGTGCTCTGCAGTTATAGTTTATTTGGCTTAGCAGGTTAGGCTATGCCAGTGGTCAGAAGGTTGCTGGTTCCCCTCAGGGTTGGCAGAGGTAGCTTCTGAGCCAAGCCCTTAACCCACTGTTGCTCCAGGGATCGTCTGATCTCTCTTTCTCAAGAAATATGTGGCTTAAGGTATAGCACCTGCTAAATATCCTGTAAATATTCCCTTTGAGCATGGTGCTAGATGGACAGCGATCTACCATGACCGACGTACGACATCCTCTGCAGGACCACAGTCAGATTCGGAGCCCTACATCGATGTATGAATCTGCAGCCATCTGCCAAGCTGAATTAAAATTTCACAAAGTAGAGCTGCTTTGCAGGAAAACAAATCGAGTCACTCTGTCTTCAGTGATATTTATGTACAGAATGGGCTAATTCAAGTACACATAAATAGTAATGAACAGTGGAAATTTCTAGAAATTGGTTGACATAGGAAACAATAGTTGCATACCTATGTGAATATCAGCTGTGCGGTATGAATGAATTGGCCTGTTAACTCATTACTGTGTACTTTATTGTTATGTAATTTATCATAGCTAATTGATGATTACTACAAGCACTTAGGCATGTGCAGCATACTAATGACTTATCTATGCCCATTGCTGTTTGCCTGTGCTGTTATTCTCTTGCCTGTGGTTGCCTGGTAACTTTCTATCTCCTGTGAGCTTCAGAAGCTCAATGGCCCCTAGTTTCCCTGGTTCGCTGTCTGCCTGAAGATAAGGCTTTCAATCCCACCAGGCAGGGGATTTGGCTCGGGATGCCATCGTTTGTCTGCATTTGTTTTGCCCCGTATTTGTCGGTCAGGAGCGGGAAAATGGGAATGTGGGGAATTAAAAATGCCTGAAAACACAGACAGTGGAAAACACCTTTAGCATGTTAAAGGGGTCCATGCATGTCTCATTCTGTCATTTCACCAGTGAAATTGTAAGAATATCCCCATCCCCCCGTCCCGGTACACACAAACATCTCCCCATATCTCTGTGCAGCTTTGACGCTCATGGGAGTTTTACTTACTTACCAGTTTTACTGGTTCAGAGAGAGAGATAACCAATCAGATTGTAGAGGAGGCGGGCCAAAGATATCTGATTGGTTGGTCCCGCCTCCTCTAGTTGCTTAGACCCACATCCTTTACAATCTGGTTATTTCTCTGAACCAATCATTTTTCTTTCTGTCCTCAGAACATTTTTGTGCAAGTAAAACTGCCATGTGCAGTTTTGATGCCATCTCTACCCACAGAGCTGTTCTGCAGGTGCTCGGGTGGTTAGTGTTGCACGCTTCAGGGCAGAGCAAATTAAACTAAACACAATGACTGACCTAATGAGTTATGGGTATTTGATCTGTACCCTGGTGTGGTATGCAGATCTACAATATTTAGGTAAGACCTCTGTGTTAAGGTCTTCATCCCTGTGGATGGAATGCAGTTGTTCCCCAGAGACACACAAGGGTGCATGGATGTCGAGATCCCAATGACAGGGACCTTTGACAAGCCATCCCCGACGTCGCAGAGATAATGGTCCTGCAGTACCGGGTGGGTTTGAGGCTTTGCATTGACCCAAGCACATTCTGACAGGAGCACTCTGAAGCGTTGTGTCTAGTTTGAAGGGAGCGTCTAAGACTGCCCATCTTCTGACTCTACCTGTGATTTTCCATCCATCCATCCATCCATCCATCCATCCATCCATCCATCTATCTATCTAATCTCTTTTGAGTTCTCCCCAAAGAAGTTTCATGGACCGAAAGACTTCCTCTCATTTGTACATTGCTTATGTTTATGTCTTTCTGGAATGATCTTAGATTATATGGCTATGCCATTTTAAAGGGCTAAGATGGCCTGTTTTTCTTCTAAATTAATACGTTTAAATTCTAAAGTCAGTTTTTGATACTGCATGTCTTTTTAATCTCATGTTAATGTATGATTTTATTTCTATGCTTTTACGCATAGTTTTCAACATTTTTATTACACGCGTAAAAATGTAAAAATGCCATAAAATGGCCGTCCTAAACACTTGCTTGGCATGTCATACTCTGTTCCCCTTTTATCTGACGCACCTCAGACTGAATTAATTAAGCCACAGTGATGCCCCGCAGCAGTGGGGGTGCCTGGCACTCCCAGTATCGCTGAACTATAACTAACGACGTCCTCGAAAAGCTGATCTGACCTCTGAGATTTCCAGCCAGAAGGCCCCTAAATCTTCCGTCACATTAATGCAACATCAGTCTCCTGCCAGGAAATGGATGGTGATGGATTCAGATCCTCAGCAAGGCTTTTGCTGCAGTAAACTTTTTCCTTAGTGCTCTTTTCGTAGTTTGGTCAGAACCTGGCATATTTGTTCCAGTGTTCCGGGTTGTTTAATTTAACCCAGTGTTTCCCAGTCTAATCGTTGGGACCCACAGACAGTCCCGGTTTTTGCTCCCTCGTGGTGGGTGTTATGGGGGTGTTACGGGGTCTCCTTAAGGAGTAACATAAAGCAGTGGTTCTCAAACTTTTTCAGCAGGAGGCCCCCTTGTGTAGGGTGAATCCTTTTGTGGCCCCCCTCCTCAAAAAAAAAAATCATGATGCAAAACATCCTCAAACTTACAATTTAACTTAATTTTAGATCTTAGATTCTGTTTGTAGTCTTTATTTCTCTGGTTTGTTAAATTTACATTTCACAAAATATAACATTGTATTAAAACAGTTTTGACAGTAAAACTAACATTGTCTGAAAAGTGCAACAAAAGTACTGAATACTGAACAGTAATTTATGTAGTGTGCTACGTAGTGTCATGTGTCAGTGGTCAGTGTAGTGTGCTACGTAAAATTTATATTTACATTTTTTTTATACTTCAATTTTTTTTTTAAATACATTATATTTTACATAGATTGACAAGCCTGATTTACATACAGGTAATTTTTTTTTTTAGATTCTACAATTTCGATGCGGCCCCCCTATCGCCATCTGGTGGCCCCCCAGGGGGCCGTGGCCCCCAGTTTGAGAACCACAGACATAAAGAACAACTGTGTGTCACTCCGCCTCGTCATTTTCATTCGCCGTTACCGCGATTCCTCGGTCTGCTCGGTGCTTCAATGCAGTACAATATCATACGTAAAATAATAACCTCATTGTAGTCTCGCTGTTGCATCTTGGCGGCTCGTTTTTGGCAGTTTATCAGAAGCTTTGATGAGTCTATATTTGTCATTGAGAGAAAATGGACTTTTTTTTCCGTCTTGTTTTCTGTGCACGGTGCATTAGCCTCAGGTAGCTAGCCAGAAGCGAACGGGTTACTGTAAGGCAAAGTAGGCTTATGAAAGTAAAATAATAAAAAAAAAAAAGAATTAACGTAGTTTTCATTTTTTCCCTATTTTTTCATGCATAAAAAGACCCAAAATGAACACTGTAAGGGGACTACTTGATTATTATAAGTGAATTATTTAAACAGCATATGTACAGGAATGATTCTACACCAAGCATTTTGATCCATATAAGCAGCTGATCACTATAACCAGGATCACTATAAGTGGGTTCCACTGTATTTGCTCTATGTATTTGTAAACACGAAATAGTGAGTGGAAAAAATATCTTTATTATGATTTTTATTATGACTTATGGGAGCATCATAAAATTATTATTTATTTGTCTATACCAGCAGTTTTAAGGCTTATATGTATTATAAATTGCTAGCCGATGTTTGCCTTATTCATAGGGTGAACTTTAGGCTAATAACATGTAGTTTCACTACATGTGGTCTGATATTTTTCTTAGAATATTTGCATAAATTTAATTTATTCTCTGCTGGAAATCTGTGTCTTTTATTGAGGGATTGAAGTGACTGAAGTGCGGTTCATCGCCTTGCATTGCAGACACTGTCCTCCAGTTTTTCTAGAATGTTCCAGGACCTCCCTTTAAAGCTTGCTGGGGGAACACAGGTGCGGCCTTTCCAGTCTGGGCTTTACACATGCAGATGAAAAACATCAGAACTTTCCTCCATTTTTAACTTCAGGCAGAGTTTATGTGAGTTGTAGTTGAAAACTGTATATTAAGTGATCCGATAAGAGAGCGAAGTCGCCATTCTACCCGTGGTGATTCCCATAGTTATTATGGTCCCACAAGATGTAGATACATCAAAAATAAAAGCTTTGGCTTTGCGCCACGTGAGCATCATTGATATGAAAATGTCCGTCGCAGACTGACGTTCCCGATAGAGGAGAAGCTACACTTTGATCCAGCTGAAAGCTCCGCATCTGTTGAAATGCGCGTCCTCCAAATCCTTCTTCAGCTGACCCCTCCCTTGTCCTTCCCTCCCCAGGACTACACCCTCACCATGTACTTCCAGCAATCGTGGCGGGACAAGCGTCTCTCCTACACGGGAATCCCGTTGAACCTGACGCTAGACAACCGGGTGGCCGACCAGCTGTGGGTGCCTGACACCTACTTCATCAACGACAAGAAGTCCTTCGTGCACGGCGTGACGGTGAAGAACCGCATGATCCGGCTGCATCCGGACGGCACCGTGCTCTACGGCCTGAGGTACGGCTCCCTGTGCCGAAACTCCGACCGCTCCACCGGGAAGCGGCTCTGCATTTTCAGGAAGCCACGTGCCCTTGCTGGAATCCCGCCTTTATTTCTCTCTGCACTCGTTTCAGCTTGTCCTTCTCCTGTCGTGTTGGTGCCGAGCATATTCTATGGGGGAGAGCTAAACTTAAAATACTGCAGGTTCGAAGCGGCACGTCTGTTCCAGTTAGAAGCCACGAAAAAAAAAAAAAAAAACATGCGTAAAATGCTCTGCAGCTCAGGACACTTAGCAAATGAGAAGCAAAGTCCACAAGAGACCAGCGACTCTGCCGCTGCGGCCTCAAGTATCGGCCTAAGAACAGACACTGGCTGCCATTAACTCACTTAATGACTCCGAAGGGACTGAAGAGATTGACTCTCCATTAGTGTTTCTCTATACAGAGGTCAGCTCTCGTCTTCTGATGATAAATTATACCTAGAGAAGCAGGAAAACAAAAGTGTATAACCTCCGCCTCCTTCGCAAACCTCCTTCTCCATGGAAATCTAAAGTTAATAAAAAGACGTACAAATCGGCTGTCTGAATTTGTGTACGTGTTTCATCTGAACTTAAGCAAGGCCTTAAAAACATATCATTGTGTTGGAAGAGGTACTTAGTCAAAGTGCGTAACACAAAATGAACGCAACTGCACATTAAACTCCCCGGGTATTGAAGGAGATGCTTGCTGTCTCGTTAAACTCAGCCAAAGCGGTGCTTAGTAAATCCGATCTGTGCATCGATTTCCCCCCCCCCCCGTATTTTTCCACATGAGAGTGCCCGCTGCTTCCCTCCACCCAGACACAGGGGTGCTACTGTTGCTCTGCAGGTTTTACAGCGACGCCCCCTTTTTGCTGATAAAGCCTTTTGGCACTGCCTCATGACCTGGGCTGCACTTGGGAGAATAAAGTGGAAGAAAGCAGACAATTAGTTAGTATGTGAGCAACTGATGCTCAGAGCCTGCCCCCCCCCCCCACCAACCCCCCCATCCCATTTGGATAATTAAACTTTCATTTCACTTGTTTAAATACAGTCTCTCTTCATAACTTACATCAAAGACTATTAGTACTGCTCAAAATAGTCTTGCCTCGATGACCCCACGTGAATGCTGATTGGTCTCTGGAGTGTCTCTTCCCCTGTCAATCAGCAATTCAAAACATGTCATTGGTTCATAATAGGCCCCTCTATATGAATTATGGCCCATCTTATGCCCCCCCTTAAAAAAAATCCTCAAATAACCCTGGATAGCTCCTTAACCCCTGTAGTCTTCAAAATACATTACACATTGATTACTGTAATGTAATAGTGCAAATTAAATGATTACGTTCAAATGTTATACTATTTGTTAAAAAGGTGCACCCGTTATTATACTGTAATGCCGTAAGGTTTGTGCCTGCTTCAGACGGCTCTCTCTACGCGGCGTCCCTCCCCCAATTTGTGCAGTCCGCATCTATAATTGCTGATGGCAGTACAAGCTCTTCCCATGCCTGCGGTCCTGCAGCCTGCCAGTTCAAGTTGCAGGTACAGCGCATCATGAATTTCAATGGAGCAGCAGCAGAACGTGGGTCTTTCTTCTGCTTGACTTATTAATTTCCAGCTAACGTTACTGCTTACTGCTCAAGGCTTTTGATGTCCTCCATTATAGACACATAACATTGTACTTTGCTATTAGTTTGATTTCCATAAATTATTATATTTCACGAAATATATGTAGAAGATTGTGCCACATGGCACAGAAAAGCCAAGCAAGAATTCACCAGAAACTGGACTTTATCGATATTTTCTGGAAGCGCATTTGGACATACATGGGTTGGAGGCTCATAGGCCTCCACTGGACTTGGTGGGGATTTTGATGGCGAGCCGATAGGTTTCTGGGCTGGAGAAATTCATTGTGGGGAACACTCCCCCTCACTAGGGCAAAATATATCCTGGTGGATCCCCCCAGGTTGGCTAAATCTATAGTTGTTGAACTGCCCCCCCCCCATTGACAGAAATTATTGCATCTGATTTTTATCCTCCTACAGCCCTGGGGGCACAATATTAGAAAATTCTCAGTAAATTTGAGGAGAGCGAGGTGTCTTTAATGATACAATCTGCAATCGCAGTCAAAATCCAGGAAACTGGAGAGGGAACTATCCACACAAACAGAGTATATGGTGCCGTGGGAGGATGCCGGAGAACGTGGCGGACAGGTTTCAGCAGGGGTGCATGAAAGGCTGCGACTGGTGGGTGACTAGGTTGATGTGTCAGAAGATCACGTACCTCAGGCTGAGGTTCCTTGAAGGGAGACGATGCTGGACGTCCCAGAATGGGCAGCAGACACGTTGACCTGGGTGGAATTTGGCACTAGGTCGACATCTCTGATCGGCAGCTTCTCTGAGTGCAGAGAGCTCACCGTAATTGGATGTGGGCCATTGCCTAGACTTGGCTGATCCTCCTGAACCAGTCATCTACCACTGGAACATCTCAAAAAAAGAGTGCAGTTTGGTGGCCTGAGGTACACTGGAATGGGGTTAGTGGTGGAGAGGTATGTACCAATACCATAGGCGTAAATTATGGGGGGCACGGGAGGATTGTAACCCCCGCGATTATCAAAATCGGCAGATACAACTCCCCTCCCCCAGTAATTACTTCTCCCACTATATGGGTGGAGACCTTAACCCCCCCCCCCCCCCCTCCAATTTTCAAACAAAGGTTGTGCCCTTGCAAAATGCCTACTCCAATCAGTAAGATTTCCTCAGCAGTACGTTCCACGCTCCTCATTTTCTCAGCTAGCAAAGGCACATAATATTGCATAAATAATAGCATGTATAACATATGGTGTGACTGTCGACTGAGGCGAACACATTGTGTAATGGATGAGAGACGGCAGGTTGTAATTGGATGCTGTGTTACCGGAGGCGTTAGATGTTCGGGCTGTCGGCCCTTTCGCTAGCGGCTAACCGACCTTTGGAGAGTGGCCCGCAACGCCGGCTCAGGCACCGGCTGCAGAGTACGGCTCCATGTGGGGGTTCGTGCCATTGAATGGGTCGGAGGGGACTGGATCCGTTAGGAAATCAAGCGATGTTACTCTAGGGCACGCTGGCAGTGTCGGGGCCCAGCTCCTTACAGCCTGGACAAATGCGCTGTTGACGTCAAATCCTGAGGCAGATCAAAGGACTTGCGTCACGTTGGGAGCTGCGATTGTCTAAGCGGGGTTAGTGCTGTAGCTGGCTTGCTTACCTTGGCAGGGCTACGTGAGAAGGCCGAACTTCTGCCAGGGTGCCGTAAGGACATCCTTTCAGCTCTTCATCTGGAATACCTGCATTCGCTTGGACTAAACTAAGCGTGGCCCGCAAATAATTATCATCAGACCAGCCTTTCGGTGCTAATAGACCTGCTGAGACTTTCGCTATAGTGATACACAAAGATCCACTGATTCCAAAGGAGGTGAGTCACACTGAGATACAGCAGAGAAGCCATAAAGGAATGAAAGTTGGGATGATTCCAGGGGCCCCTAAGTGGGAGGGGCCTTAAAAATTTGGAACATATTTGGATTGGTCTGGGTTGGGGGCCAATATGATTTGCTCTGATGGGGTTCAAAATCTCTAGTGGCACCCCTGGATACCAAGCCTACCATCCCCACCACCCACCAATTGACAGTCAGGGAGCTGTAGCCACAGATACCATAAGGTTGGCCAATCAGATTTTGTTTTCCTGCCCATGTCACTAATTGCCATGGCGATGTATCTACCAAGCATCATCGAACTCCTGATGCATTACTGCCGCCACGTTGCCTTCTGTACTTAAACATAATTTGATATGACCCAAATATTGGCTTAATCGCGAACAAAGCCTAACAGCAAGAGCTTTAGGCTTTAGGTCAGCTATTCCAATCCAGGTGTGAGGACTCTTCAGCCAATCAGTACTCTAATTAGTAATCTAATTAGGGAGTTGCAGTGAAAATCCGCATACACACCGGCCCTTTCTGGATGAGATTGCCCCCACCAGGCCTATAGAATTGGCCAGCCCTGCCTGCTTCCGCTCATTTCGTGGAGTCTGCATGTTCTCGTGCCGTGTAGATTTCCTCCTGCAGTCCAAAGACATGCAGTTGGCTTGATTTGCATCTCTAAATTGCCCGTAGTGTGAGTCCATGCCCTGCAATGGCTTAGCCTCCCATCCAGAGCCCGTCCTGCCTTCTGTTCCCCAGGACCGGCTCCAGGCTGTTTATGACCCTGTATCAGGCGAGAGGTTCTGGCAAATTAAATGGATGGATGGGAATGGACCTGCTACCTGAGTAAAATAAAAAATAATGTCCCCTATTTACCAACCCGGCTGCCTTTTTCCATGAACATTCAGCAATAAATTTCATCTTTTTCCTATGAGACAATTGTCAAAGGTCTGAAGTGGATTGTCTAGCTAATAGGAAGTAGGTAGTGTGTTTTTCATGTGCCACATCCATTTTTAACTAGTCCTGGGCTGTTGAGGGTAAGGCGGCAGGTCTGTTGGGGAGCGTTGAGCTGTTTCAGATACAGACTTTCGAAAAAGAAATGACTTGGCATTACACTACAAGCCTGGCCCATCTCCCTCCTCTCCATCATCGCTTATCATAACCTCCTGTCTCGATATCTCATAAGTCCTGCTCTGAGAGCAGAGCGGGGAGGGGCGGATAAAAGGGTAAACTGATTAAAATTCTGCCCAGATCCGAAGCGATGGATTAAAATAGCCTTCCTGCTCCAGTGTCATTGGCGACGCACGGTCTCCATCTTTATCGGCAGCCTCTCCATGCTGTGAATTCATTCACGCTGAGTCAGCGCGGAATCACAGCTTTGTGCTGCTACAACAGTTATTCGTATTATTCCTGTGGCAGACAGCGCAGCGGGATAAATGCATCTCACCTGAAACAATAACTAGCTTCATTAGTGATTCGCATAAGAAAATAAAGCTCATTAAGATGGCGCAGTGATTAGGGTTTTAAAGGCTTTTAATCAGTTTCTTCTTTGTATGAGAGCTGAACATGTTGAAAATAGGATATCTTCTGGACAGTTTTCAAGTGTGAGTGATTTGTGGTTGAATTTTAGATATTTACAATGGTGACTTTGATTCAAAAGCACCTTGTGGGTTTACATGCACTGCTTGCACAATTACACAATTTATTTATTGATTTGTATCTAAATCGTCTACACAAATTTGTAATTGACCTTGAAGCGAACAGGTACATTATGTCGGCCATCAGATTTAAAATTGTCGTCATAGCCTTGACAACAATCAATTCCTGCGGCTCCTGTAATTTGGTGGCCAGTCTGAGTATGTGGTTAAACCTTAAATGAAATCACGTGTATTGTTGTTGCGTGTCTGCGTGAGGGGGGTTTGGCCCAGCGTGAGGCTGAAACCTGTCTTTCATACAGCTGAGAGTGAGTCTGCCACGAAAAAGCTAATTTTCTGCTTCAGACACGAGGATACAAGCCAAATCAAACCAGGCAGACATATGAAGCGCTTGTGTCCCACGGGGCAGAGAGGGAGATAACATCCTTCACGTTTCCATTTCGTTTGCTTAGCTGGCGTACGTGAGCTCCGTGGAGCAGCGGTCTACGTTTTAGTTTCTAACTCGATGCTTTTATCACTTAATGCCAGTCACAGTTTTTACCCTTTGATTCAGCTGGGTATTTTCCCGCAAGACCGGAGGTTAAGTACCTTTCCAAAGGGTACAACAGCAGGACCCAGTGCGGGATTAAAATTGGCGAGCTTTGGGCTTTGTGTCACCTTCAGACTTTGTACTTGTCACCTTTTTCCATGGGGGGGATTGGGGGAGGTGGGGGGGAATCAGAGAGGGAGAAGATTTCCCGTCGGGGGGCAGGACGGCCTGATTGAAGCCTGGACTGGGGGGGGGGGTTAAGCGCAGAGGCCATAAACCCGATGGCTGTCGATTAAAATCCTACAGTCACAGGATGCAGGCTGGGGAGCGAGAGGAAGGGAAGTCAAAATAGGTTGATTTTCCTGCAGTTCATGTCTCAGTGCGGCAGGATCCGGAGTCCCCCCCCCCTCCCCCCCCTCAAGCTCATTGCAGAACGACCTCAGGAAGCATCTGACGAAGAAAATGCACATGACATGTGACTGATGTGACTATGGCCAAGGGCAAGTTAATGTTTAAGGTAATCAAGGCTACGGTCTGGGGCTCCAGTGAAATCAGGGCCCTGCCCGGCACAACAGGGCCCCCAGCCTGCCTCGGGACATATAGAACAATTACATATAGAACAATTACATATAGAACAAATCTGCCGGATTCAAAACGCCCAATCAGAAAATTTTGCTGACGACACAATATCTCAATTGGCTGGCTTGGGGGACCTCCAGAGAAGAGAATGTTTTTCCTCACCTGTTTCCCGAATGCTTGGAGAAAATCCTGATGATGTCAGGCGGCAGGGATGGAAGCCACGAGGTCACCGGCCTGCCGTGATGTCGACCACCAGCAAGGAACCATCCATGGACCGTATATGTTAATGTGATTTTTGTATACAAAGATATGGTACTTTAATTGATAAATTATGCACAGTACAATATGTCCAACATTAAATATAGTGATAATAAAGTATATTGCACATTATTAAACTGTACTGTACTCTTTGAAATGAAAGAGATTCTGACATTGTAGCCTAACTCTCAAGAGAAGATTGAGCAATCAAAAGATATAATGTATCAAAGGATGACAGAGCAATGAAAATCGTGCTTTTTTTTACCCCTCGAAAGGACAAAGGAACAGTGAAAGAACACAGGCTACACATTTTACAATGAAAAACAGGCATCATGTACCTGTACAAAACCTGTAATGAGAACAATTATTTGTTACAAAATATCTTAGCCTAGAGTGGGTCCTCACCGGCTTATAGCCTGAACTCGCTTGTGCATGGTTTGAAACTTATGTACCGTTTGTGGATTTCTTCGACTTCTACAGAATAAGTGGTAGGATCAGTGAACAAAGTAGTACTCATTCACGGAAGAATACCTGCAGAGTACTAACATCTATTATGGCGTGAGTGGAGTACAGCATAGAACGAGGGGAGTGCTGCACCAGTCCCGGATATTTGCTTGTATTGCACTTATGCATTATTGTTGTGCAATGAAATGAAATTTCACTTCAATAGTATTGCACTTCCAGGGTAATAAGCGGAAATGAGCAGTCAGGAAAGAGAGCTTTCAGAATGAAAGAAACAAACCTAATGGCTAAATCAGAGGCTTCCTGGTTTTAGAGCAAGTAAAATTAGTCAAGTTATACCCGCACTGGGGCAAACGTTCACCTCCATTTTCAACGTTCATACCTTTAAAATGTACTCAGGATGAATGCAGTGTATAAATAATGAATCATTGTGTCTAAACTTGAATTTAAATAAAAAAGAATAGTTTGTAATGTGTGTGACAGCACCATGCACTTTAATAGTTTTTCTAATGTGATAAACATGCATAATTGTGACAATAATGATGAGTAAAATATAATATTGAGTATACGGTTTATTTATCCCCGGCCCTAGGTCTAAGTTGGCTCATTCTTTGCTGTAACTGCCAACAATCCGATACCCTTGGGTCATTCTTAAAGGTCTAATGTGCTGTAACTGTCAGAGGACTGGGAAGCTAACCATGTTTTAATCTAAATGAAGGCATGGGGGAAATGATTAAGAAGCTGTCGGATGTTCCACAGCACGTCTATCCCGCAGAAAACACAAAAGCGGGCAGAGCTGAAGGATCACACCACCCAAACGTGTTCACTGGAAGTCTGGAATATTAGCTTAATCGCAAAACTTATTAAAAAGCGTACTGGCGGATAGGATTTTTTATTGCAATGTGGGATTTTACATTTAGTGCACCTTAACGAAACACTAACACATTGCCTTCAAAGGAAATACACCTGAAATACACCTGACTGCACTCTTGAGAGGAATTCTGGCGAAGAAGAGGCAGGAATCTGTAAAAATCCCATAATCCCAATTTGATAGGAATGGCAGTCACCTAAAGTGAAGTGAAGGGCAATTCGAATATGGGGGAAATAAGGCAGCTCTTTAGTGAATCCAGGCCTCAATAATGAGGTGGTCGAGTGACAGGCTGGCTAACTTCTGAAATTAATTAAATATAATGGTCTCTGCATCCTTTTGCGTGTTTTTGCAGCACACTAAGAAATAATAAGCGGAAAGTCACAGTGGACACTCTTAGGCTGCTGTACTGTGTGCAGACACTTGTTTTCGACTTTTTTCGAATCGTATGTGACACCTGATTGGTCAATGCATGGAACATGTGACCCACTTTATTGTTTAAACCTTCCCTTCCAGGATCACCACAACGGCTGCCTGCATGATGGATCTCCGCCGGTACCCCCTGGACGAGCAGAACTGCACGCTGGAGATCGAGAGTTGTGAGTCTCAGTGATGAACGTGCGCCGATGACCTCATAATCATGCCCCAGTCTCTCTCATCTGCGTACAGTAGATGTCTCCACTCACGTGATGACTTACCAGAATACGCGTGCTTCTATAAAAAAAAAACATGCATCCCCCTGCTGAAAATAACCATTTCCATGATTTAGTCCATGCTGTTCCATGCATTTCCATGCTGGTCTATGCTGGTTAGTACTGGCTTGGTGCTGGTTAGTGCTGGTTTAGCACTGGTGTACCTGGTGGATCAACATAGCTGTACTGGTCTACCTGCGCATGCAGCTGGTCCACCAGCACCAAAACGCAACATTTTCTGGAATAACCAGCATGCGTTATGCTGGTCATGCTGGTAACCAACTATGCTGGTCTATGCTGGTTTTTTCATAAGGGTCTGCAGTTTCTTAGTGAGTTAGATTTCTCACATTCCTTACAAACAAAAGTCTATTTATATTCTTGATGAATGACCTGGCCACTACCTCCTTTCCAAATCAGCGTGGCCTTTCTCTGTGAACCTGCTCCTTATTTACTGGAATGTGAAAGACAGTCCCCATTAGTATCTTTGACTGTATCTGGCACGTTTAGCTGTAGCTAAAAAGGCCAGCACTGTTCATGATCCCTAACTTTAACACTGTCTGTTTCCCTCATTTGGGAATTCCGTGTCCAACTTGTGAACACAGCTGTGAGTAATGAGTATCTGATGCTGATAGGCAGAAAAAGACTATAGAACCCCTCTAGAGGTGTGTGTGTGTGTGTGTGGATTTTGTTTATATTACATTGTGGGGACCAAATGTCCCCTACAATGTGATATAAACCTGTTATTTTGATATTGTGAGGGGCATTTTTCAGGTCCTCACAAAGATCTGTGAATGCAATCAAAAAACTAAAGTCTTGCATTTTGTTTGATTACTTATGGTTAAGGTTAGGGCTGGGTAGGGGTTAAGGTCGTCATGTTGGGATTAGAGTTTTCCCCATAGAAATGAATGGAGAGTCCCCACAAAGATATAATTACAAACCTGTGTGTGCTCAGATGAACCTGCACCACTTCCTTGTTTCCAAAACTTGAAAGAGAACTAAAACCACATAATTCAGTGAATATGTAGTGAGGCAGTATGTATGCTGGTCTTCCAGTTGGTACAGCTATGAATGGCTATTAAAAACTAGCGAGAATTAGTATAATTTATAACACTGCAAGATCTGAATCTGTATTTGGACAAAAAAGGAAAAAGAAATCATATACATTTATTTTGAAACTCAATGTGTAGCATATAGTGAATCACAACATGTAAAAATTAATCCAAGTGAAAAATTATCTAATTTATTTTTTTATTTACAAGATTTGTGAAAAGGAGAGAACATGTAAATTCAGACACATTTTTCCTTTTCACAAAAAGCAAGATCTTATAAATGCACTGTTTCAAAATTAACGTACGGTTGGCTCAAAGGGCTGTGATTTCTGAGGCTGCCAATTTGAGAGCTAGCTGGCTTTGCATGATTTAACACAAACCACTGCAATGAGCAAAAAGAGATTCAAGATTCAGATTCAAGAAAATTTTGTTGTCCATTACAAAGTAACAGAAATTACTCTTAGACACAGTTCATATATAGCACAACATCATACAACGCAACAAGTAATAAAAACGATGTACAAAATAACACAGTAAGAATACATATTCTATTTAATACAGCGAGGGAATAATTGACTTATTATGTAATCTTTTGGCCAGAGGACAGGGGCGTAGTGTTTAGAGGGGCGTGGGCTTTGGGGCTGATTTGGTCCCTACCAGTATTGTAACCAATGTTACACTGCCTGTAACCTCGTCCTGATAGTGGCATTCGAAAAAATTGGTGAAGAGGCTGAGATGGTTGCTGTCATATAGGATTGTTCGCACGGGGTTACTCTGCTGCCTGCATGTTGCGCGGCCCGGACACGCAATCTCCTCAGCTGCGTCTCCAACAGCTCAAAACACTCTCTCTAAGGCTAAAATCGCTAATCTTTCACTGACTGTGGCTTCCTCAGAATCCCCCCCCTCCCCAGGGACCGGCAGACGCTCGCAAATTGCTTCCATCGCTCCCTGGGGATGGCACACTTTGAGTAAAGGTGTCTTCCTGGGGGAGGAGCAGGACAAACACCTGAGGCAGCTTTACGCATCCTCCCAACCCCCCCCCCCCCCCGCAGCCATTTTCAGTTTCACTTTGGTGTAAAAACAAGGGAGATATCTTCCCTGGGAGAGTCTTGCGAATATATTTCACATTCTCTTTCCTGCAGGGGAAGAAGAGGATGAATCACTTTGAAAAGCAATTATTCATTTACTTTTAACAACACATTTTTGCACATGCAGTGCAATTCAGTAGAGAAGGTTTTTCAACTGAATATTATGTCTATTGATGACCCACTCGAGTGTAACTGTTCTTTTGAACATTTTCGCACACATGACAAATACAGTGTTTTCATATTTTGATATTTAGATTTTTAATTTGCTTTAGGGAACTTTATTATGCATGCATTAAAGGCAGTTTGGGGTTGAATCGACAGTTAACAAATTAATCTTGTCAATGAATAATGAGACTAACAAATTCGGCAGAAAAATAAATCAGTCTGTAGTCAGATACCCCTTTTCAGCTGGGAGTTGCCATGTCCGTGAAGGTGAGAGACACAGTTTTGGTGAATGGCTCAACAAATGGAGTGTTATGCTAGCAATGCAAATGTCATGAGTTTAAGCCCCAGTCAGCACTATAAGTTGCTTTGCATGATAATGTCTGATAAATGTCAGTGGTTATTAAACTACTCCAGCTAATATTAAGAAACCCTTAGACTCTTTGCTGTGTCCTTTCCTCTTTAAAGATCAATCTAAGATCATTTGCTCTTTTCGGATCCCCTAAAACCTTCGTCTCAATGACTACGTTTGCATGCACTCAGTAATCAATTTATTGAGAATAGACCAATTAGGACGATAACCCAATTAAGGTGCCTGCATGTGTTTTTAATAACCCAATTACTGTGTTTACATGACCGGCTCCGTAATCGGGTTAAGTCACTTTTAAGTCACATCCGGGTCACTCATAATTCGCGTGAAAGGGATTTTGATTTGGCGCATCAATACACCGACCGTAATCCGTTTAAGGGTTTACATGGCATTTGAAATCGGTTTATGATCGTATAACCTAGGTGGGATAAATGGATTTCAAATAAATAGGTTACAGCTGAGTAATCGGTTTAAGGGCCAGACGCCGATCATAATCGGTTTATTAAGGTGTGTATCAATGCAGTCACTGTCAACATCTCAGATGCGAGGAGGGAATCTCTCCCACTCAAACCCATTCTCCCACTATGGCACTGTGGCCATCTTTCTGTTTATGTTTCCACCGAGCTGGAGCAGCGAAAGCGGAACACGTATGCACAGGAAAAGACGGATCTGTCCTCCATGGTGGCCGATGGATTTAATCGGTGGGATGTAATCTGAAAAGGCTTGTTGCCGTAGCTTTTTGTCGCAGGGCAAAGCGTTGCAAGCGATTGCATGGAAACTGGGAAGGCTGCCGTCTCAGCCTGAGCGTAACCATGGCTTATTTACTTGACTGATGAAGTGGACAGAGCTGTTTCCCTGTATCACATGGTCTTATTAGGCGGAGCACGAAACAAGCTGCTTTCTTACCGACATGCATTAAAGGCTCATTTTTTTGTACATTATATGAAGAGAAAATTGTGCCTTTTCACCATCTTCAACTATTGTCTTTGCTCGTCTTTATATTAAATTGCATGTAAATACATTGAAAAATTATACTGTAAAAAAATCTGGAATTAGCCATTACCTTTAATATTTAAAGGGGATGAAATCACTAGGGATTACCTGCCTCTGACAGTAAGGCAGGTCTTGCCGAGGCATGCGGCATTACAGCATTTCTAAAAAAGAAGCACACATGCATCACCTGGTGGCTTTAGACCCCAGAGACCCTCTGAAGGTATTTATACTTCAGCCGATACTGGGAAGTATCTGGATTGTAGTTGACACCTCAGACACGTGCATGATTTCGCCTTCAATAAATAAGTAAATAAACACTTCTGAATTCCTCTCTTTCTCAGCACAATCTGTTACATATTTTCATAATTATTGTTAACCTACATTCAGTCATGCTCGTCATTATCGCACCGAAGTTCTATTAATAAAACTTTAATTTCACTACTTGCAAATTATGAAGTCTTGGGGTGGAAAATCTTGGGGATTAGGCATATAGAGAAGGATTCAGTTCAGTTCATTAATAGTAGATAATAAAAATAGTATTTGTTTCAGTGTGAATAATGTTCTTAGTTACTCTTCTGATTTGATTATTATTTTCGCCGATTTTCACACCCTTCTCTACAAGACTAAACAAAGATTTGCACACTATTTTATTTTTAGATTGGGACCATGTCAGCATTATTATGGCCTACATGTAACTTGGTAAGAATGCAGCTAAACTGGTTACTAGCTATAGTGCTGGTCAGGGGACTAGTTAGAGATTAATGGATATGTGGGCTGATTCTTTACTAGGGGGTGGTCATATCAAACTTATAAAAAGCTCTTCATGACTTAAGCCAATAAATACACATTTATTTGGGGGGGGGTGAGGCTAAAATAGGCCTAACGACACCCCTGGTTCTGGGAGAGGCTAATCCACTCCAAACCAGCTTCCAGTTCAATAACACACTGGTGGGTAATGGAGAGCTGTTGTTTTTGCACTTTTTTCCTCACCTCTTAATGGAATTTTCCTCTGAGCTAAAGCCTATTTGGCTGTAGGTGTTTGACGTGTGTTTGCCAGTGAATATTAAAAGTAACTAGAGCAGAGTTAAGTTAGCATAGTACGCGCTGATGGAAAATAGCACAGTGACATCACTCAGCGAAGGGAAGGCGGGATGAAGCTGGTGCTCGTAAAGCAGATCCTGGCACTTAAAGCGATTTTATAAACAAAACAGATTAGGGGCATTCTATAGAACTAGTTCAAAAAATGTGGAGGTATTTAAAAAGAGTATCCCCAGTGTGGTGCAGTGCCGCAGTGAGTGGCACTGTTGCTCTTGACAGCTGCAGGGCTGTGGGTTTGAACCCCATGTCTGCTTATCTGGGTACGCTGATTTACTTCACACTCCAAAGACATTCTGGTAGGCTAACTGACATCTCCAAATTACCTGTAGTGTATGTGCCCTGACATGCACTGGAATCCCGTCCAGGGTGTCCCCTGCCCCGTGCCCTGTGATGGACTGGCATCCCATCCAGTGTGACCCCTGCCCCGTGCCCTGTGATACACTGGCATCCCGTCCTGGGTGTCCCACTGCCTTGCATTCCATGCTGCCTGGGATAGGCTCCAGGCCACCCTGTCCAGGAAAAATTTAAACTGTATGTGCGCAGAATCATGAATTTATGCGATTTATCAATACGCATACAGTACCAGTCAGAAGTTTGGACACATCCACTCATAGAAAGATTTATTTGTACTATTCTCTGTATTTTTGAATGATTATAAAGACATGAAAACTATAAAATAGCATATATGAATTATGCACTGATGAAGAAAGTATAAAAAAATAATAATTTGTTGGGGGGGTACCACTGTGTGGGTTGGGGCTCCTTCACTCTCTGGTAAAACTCCCCCAAAACCATCTCTGCTGGGATTAGGTCCGGTGGCCAGGTCATGTGATGTGACACTATCGCTCTGCTTTGTAGATGTGTCCAAACTTTTGACCGGTTCTCTGTGTGGGAAGCTTGTACTGTGGTCACTATGGCTCCAGGTATAATTCACATACCAGATTTGCTGCTTTATTTCCCTTCCGTGTCAGCCTGTGCCCGTGTAGGTGCTTAGCTGATGCTTCGGATGTCCCCATAGTTGCTCTTTCTTTCACTAAATTGGCAAAACAAGTTTGCTAAAGAGAACAGGATGAGCTGCCCACCGCAGCGATGATGCTCTGCGGGTTCTTCGCAGTTTCCTGTTCCTTCCACCATTTTCTGGCTGCTCCAGCACCCCACGGGGCCAGCGCTGGCTTGGCAGGAAGCCAAAGGCTGCCGTCAGCTTTTACGCGCGACTCCGGGCTCTGCCAACGGCTGCCCGTTCCGGAGAGTCCATTGGCAGGGGCTGTGGGGGCGAGTGCTCTGGACTTCAGTGGACTAGGGAAAGAGTTCTGGCAGGGCTTCTGCGGTGGGTTGGGGCCGAAAACTCATAGCCAGGCAGAGGAGTGAGATCGTGGGATACAGCTTTTAATGGTAGTGCCCGCCAGCCACCCACTGCAGGGCCAAATGATCTAAATTAAGTGTGAATCAATCCCAAGACACTTTGCGGTAACAGTCACCATGTTTTCATGTGGTGCATTATGGGGGATAGTTCTTAAAGACGTGGCACCTATGCACAAAGTGCAACCTCTCAAAAAAAATGCATTGGCATAGATGCAGGACTTCACTGACCATACTGTTAAATTCACTTAGTCATTAAATGCCTCACTAAAACGCAGTGGCTTCACTAAAAATTATTTAAAAAAAAAATAAATATGGGTTTGAGATACGGTGTTCTTCTGGTCGTACCTAGTGATCCCTGTGCAAAGAGCGAATGAGAGCCTGAAAGATCGGCAGAACGAGAGTCACGTGACCAACCGTGAGAGTCAGTTACCCACTTCAACCCAGAGCCAGCGGGCTAAATCAAGCCTCCATCATGTCATTTATAAAATGTCTTTCTTCAATTTGGCGTTGGAAGTTTAAATATTGCAAAAGGGCTGAATGTAACACAAAAAAATTAAACAAAATAAAAACCTTATCTTTCATTTGCGGATGTAAGAGAACCTTGTCGAGGCAGCAGCCTTGCTTCTCGAAGGAGCTCTTCTGTCGTGGGGAGAAAGACCTTGAACGGCATTGATTTATCTCCCCGCTGTTGTGTCGTGGAGCTCGGAATTGGCAGCGCGTGAAACAGCGGCTCCCTCACAGGCCTGGACCTCGCAGAAGTCACGTGCCCAACATTTGGGGAATCGCATCTGCGGGGTGACATCATGTGTGGCACCGAATCAGCGCCTTCCTGTCTAATTAGGGTAATCGATGGCACCGCTCTGGCCCAATAGCAGGGTGGCGGGGGGGCTATTGTGCGGACATCTGCTGTCCCCCGAGTGAGTCAGGGCTCTGGCTCGGGCTTTATTGACGCACGGCACTGCCAGGACCGGGCCGCGCGAGTCTGGTGTCTGTGCGGCAGGCCCTTGGCCCACGGCCCCGCTCAGCGCTCCGCCGTAGCCGCGCGAGTTAAAAGCGCGCCCAGTGTCTGCAAACACTGGAGGGGGGGGGGTCGTCCCGCACTGCCAAATGCAGTTGAACAAAAAATAAAAGCAGAACGAATGAAAGGAGAAGGAAACATGGTCATTCGTTTTATGTTTGCGAAATAACAAGGCACGCAGTGGCTAGAGATTGATAAATTATTAGCATCGAGGTTGTTTGTGCTTCCCCGAGAGGGTGCTGGGTTGTTTTCACGATTCACATCTTGCTCTCCATGAGAAACATACAGCATCAGTGTTTACTGCCACCCAAACCACCCACTTCGTGGGGACCCTGAGGTTCAGGGGGCCATCTGTTGGCCACAAACAGTCACTACACTAAATAATGTATAATTTACCATCTATTTCACGTTTTCCACCCACTTGTCCTACACAGGATCACAAAGCCTATCCCAGAAACTAGAGGAGCAAGGCAGGGAATCACCCAGGATGGGGTGCCAAACCATCACATGGCAGAGACACACGGGCAATTTAGCAACACAGATAACCCAACTGTGGGGCAAACCAGAGAACCTGGAGGAAACCCTACAGAAACGGAACCATGGCAGAGACTCAAACCCGGGTCCCAGAGGTGTGAGGCAACAGTGCTAACTGCAGTGTCACTGTGGTGCCCCAAAAAGAAAAAGTAAAAAAGAATACTAATAAACGACTGATCAAAACTTTAAAGTCAAAAATTATTTTTTGTTTTAATTTTAAAAGTTTGAAAGGCAGGGAAGGTAATTTGCTCCTTATTTAGGAGATGCTGAAGCAGCATGTCTTGCTAATGAGCCTGCTAGCTACAAGCTACTGACTGCTAACTATATATTTATTTTTTGAAACATCTCGCGGGGGGGGGGGTGAAGTTACTTTATGAGTGGGGGCGCACCAGAACCAACAGACATGCCCCCACAGACATGTATATACTGTGGAGAGCAAGTGTGGGGTCAGAGAACAGAGCAGGTTAGCATAGCATAGCAGTTGGGGATTAGGGCCTAGCCCCCCCCCCCCAAGGGCACTACAGCGGCATGTTTACTCTGCTGGCCACAGGATTTGAGCCCACGAGCTTCCGGGCTTGGGCACAGAGCCCTAACGTAATGAGCTGTAAAGCATGATTAACCTCCACCACAAACACAACCGAAATACTGTTTGTTTCCTCAAATCGTATCGTTCATTTTGCCCCAAATTGCCTCTTGTTGACCTTGGCTCGTGATTCATGTTGACTTTATTTCTCGGACAAACAGGTTGATTTAGTTTCTCTAGTTAGTTTAAAATGGTAACGGTATTCTGCCGCCGCACCCGAGTGTCTCATTCGTTACGGAATGGAGGGGATCTTGGAATACGTCAGAAATTCCCTAAACGGACGGTGGGACAATAGGATGGGTCCGACCTCTGGGGACGGCAGGTCAGAGATGGTCCTCGGGACGCGGCCGTCCCTTTCCGCCCTAGGGGCCACTGGCACGGGTGCTCTGGCTTCCCGTCAGTAGGATGGACTTTAGATTTAGTCTCTCTTACATAATCTTGGAAGGTGGGGGATACTGACTCACTCCACCAGCAGGAGTGGGTGCTGCTTTTTCTGTTCAGCAGTGGGGAGCTTAAACTCCCACAGATATGTGTGTTTTTTTTTTTTTGCTTTGGACACAGTTTAATCTGTGCATACAGGAGCTGG